GCTAACAAAAACAGGATGCGTTTCAATACTGACAAGCGCAGGGTGCTGCACTTGGGCAGTAGTAACCAGCAGCACACTTATAAGATGGGAAACTCCCTTCTTGAGAGCACAGAGGCAGAAAGGGATCTTGGAGTCATTATTGACTCCAAGAGAACATGGGCCGACAATGCGAGGTCACGGTTGGCAGGGCTAACCGCACCTTGTCGTGCATCCACAGATGTATCTCAAGCAGGTCCAAGGAGGTGATCCTCCCCCTCTATGCGACACTGGTCAGGCCACAGCTGGAGTACTGTGTCCAGTTCTGTGCGCCCCACTTCAGGAGGGATGTGGACAACATTGAGAGGGTCCAGAGGAGGGCCACCCGAATGATCCAGGGACAACAGGGCAGACCCTACAATGAGAGACTGTGGGACCTGAACCTGTTTGGCCTTCACAAGCAAAGGCTGAGGGGGGACCTGGTGACCGTCTATAAACTCACTAGCGGGGACCAAAAGGGTTTGGGAGAGAGCTCGTTTCCCCTAGCGCCCTCTGGCATAACAAGGAATAATGGCCACAAGTTGTTGGGGAGTAGGTTTGGATTAGACATGCGTAAGAGCTACTTCACAGTTAGGGCAGCTAGGATCTGGAACCAGCTTCCAAGGGAAGTGGTGCTGGCTCCTACCCTGGGGGTCTTTAAGAAGAGGCTTGATGCCTACCTGGCTGGAGTCATTTGAGCCCAGTTTTTTCTCCTGCCCAGGCAGGGGGTCGGACTTGAAGATCTACAAGGTCCCTTCCGACCCCACTTCTATGATTCCATGATTGCACTTAGTTGTTGTGGGAAAAGTTGACTCCCGGCACCTAATGTGTCTCAGTTTCCCACGTACAACAGGGATCGGAGCACCTCTCTATTTTGCAGGTGTAATGTGAATTGAAATGTATTAAGGATATTGAAGTGCTCAGATATGTGATAATAGGGGCCTGTAAATCCTTAAGTTGGAAAAATGAATGGATCATTAATCTATCCCCTTCTGTATTTTCTTGCCATGTTCATTCAAAGTAGGATTTCTCTGCTATCTTACTTGTTTTCACCCAACTCCTTTTATCCTGGAACTTAGCAACCTCAGCAACACATTTGAGACTTGTATAGCACTATCTGTCCAAAGAACTGTGTTTTGCAAACTGGGTATTCATATTTCTATTTTACTCATGGGAAAAGAGAGGCACAGAGAGAGTGTCATTTGACTCGGATCAGCACAAAATGGAAATCCTGGAGTTCCTTTGCTGGACAGCAGCTCCCAATTAGAATTGTGGGGGAGTATAAGAAATCCTAGAAATCCTTAAAACAGGGCTGGAAGGGATCTTACAAGGTCATCTAGTCCAGCCCCCTGCTCAAGGCAGCATGGCCCTGACTAAACTATCAAATCCAAATGTCTGTCCAGTCTGCTCTTGAAAATTTCCAGGGATGGAGATTCCACCACGTCTTTAGGGGCATTTCTACACATACCTTTTCGTTTGGTAACACACCACTGCTTCTGAACAGACTCGATTAATAGAGCCTGCTCCGCACATGAGCTGATGCTCACTGTGCTGCACCATACGCAGTTGTATAAGTGGCGAAACACGCGTCAGCGCACAGAAAATGGCAGCTGTGTGCTTTTGAACTAAAGCATCTCCAAAATGTTATAGTTCAAAAGCACACCGCTGCCATTTTCTCAGCACTGACATGCATTTTGCTGCTTTCACAAGTGTAAGTGTCGCAGCACCAGGCACTTGCATGTGCAAAAATGCCCTTAGTGCCCTGTTCCAGTGCTTAATCACTATCACCTTAATTGGCCTATGGTAGAAGTGGAAAGGGTAGCCAGGGTGTTTATACCTTACAATATCATACGTGAAATAATGTGATCTAAAGGAACACTCATACAAGCATTATAAGATTAATCAATATGACTAAAGATGTTGCAAAAGAACTGTAAAACCTGATTCTACAGCCCCTACCTTGATGAGTAATCCTTCAAACGAGTTGCATTGATTTCTGCAGGATTACTTACATGAGTAAAGATGACTTGTGAATAAGTGATGCAGGACTGAACCTTTCTCATTAAAACTTGGCATCCAGAATAGCAGATACATTTCTCTTTGCCCTCTGGATTCGAAGGATGTAAATTACTTGAAAATGAATAGGTGTCTTTATAAAAAAAAAAAGCCCTGGGAAATAGTTTTTGTGGGCTGTACCAAGAGCAGATGCAAAGGAAGAACCTGTTTGGCACTTCCGTTAAAAATTAGCACCCCACATACAAACATAAACGTGTAAGCATAATGGTATTTAAGCACCTTTCTAGTGAAAAAAACAAACTGGAACTTGCAACCCTTTATGTTCTTGCCAGAAATGAAACATCATCGAAATCTATTAAGTAAATAACACTACAGTGTGTTACTTCTTTTGAAGAAGCCTTGTAAATAAGAGCAGTTTGTTGTTCACTCAGTGCCGTGGAGTTTTCCATAAAAATTTCACTCGCATGTGGACAAAAGGAAAGTCATTTAGCATTTGTTTCTGGTCCTGATCCTGAAATCTGATACCTAAGGAAGGACTCACCCATCGACCTGATTACAGGATCGGGTCCTTAATTACTAAAGTATAGCTGGATTTTTTCACAGTGCCGTGCAAATGTTCAATATTAAAATGATATAAATAAGAAATAAGTCATCAGGCTTCAGATGTAGCATGTGAATTGTGTGTTTCTATGTACCGCAGAACTTGGATCATTTGTACCCAGGTGGTTCACAGCAGGTTGTCAAAGTTAAGGATGGGCTGTTTGCTGTGGCATATACTTCAATGGGCAGCGCTTCTCCAATCAGCTGGAGCTCATCAATGGTCCCAGGCTGCTGATCAGAGAAACATTACCTCTGAAATAAAAGCCATAGCAAATAGCTGGAACACCTGAGCCATTTGCTGCATCTGCATATATCTCCAGCTAGCTCACAAACCCTCCTCTTTGCAGGGTATTAAGGAACCTAACCCTGCAAAGAGCCTGGCTGCCGCTGTACAAAAAACCAAAACAGGCGTCAAGCTCAGCTTACTGTTTTCCAGAAATATTCAATGCTATTTTCACTCCTTGATAGCACAGGACTTTTACATGTTCTTGTTCAACTAATTATCATGGTGGCTAAATTTGGTGCTAATGCAATTAGTGGTATTTTATTTATGTCAGTAAAAGATGTTCAGAGACAAAGCAATTTTTGATCATGTGGAAGGACATACAGTGCAACACAACTGTAATCATTGCTAAAGTACTTATGCTACAAACATCTCCCCCCTACTCCCCTCGCCCTCATTGGTCATTAATAATTCCCAGCTTTTCTATTGCATTTTTCATCATAGATTCAGTGTGTTTTACAAAGGAGTTTGATGATGTCCTCGTTTTAATGAAGAAATTATCCAGATTTGATTTTAAAATGTTTCTTACCACAATTTATAGGTCTGTTTGCTATTTGTCTGGGAGCACAGCAAATCAGTAATTTAGTTTTAACCTGAATTTGTGTATGTGTCTGTAGGGCAGAGTTTATGTCCATAAATATATTCACAGCTTCTGTTTCCCTTTAGTTGGAACCCAAAATAGACAGCAGCCTCCCGTTCCCCTGATCTGTGCACAGAAGGCAACAATATCAAGGAAGAGAAATAAAAAGAAAAAATTGCCCCAAAAGACTTTTGAACCAGTTACTGTGAATAAGAAGTCCAGCACTGTAGAGAATGAAAAGAAACTGTCAACCAACTCTGAAAAATCCAGTCTGCACGCAGCTGAACCTGCTCTCAAACCAGAGACCCCCGTTTCAGGATTTGGTATCATTCTTGAATCACCTTCCACAGATGTAAGTTGATATTTGAGGTGCATAAAATACCACTTATACTAGAGGAGGAATGCATAAGCCTACCAGGGGCCGTACTTTTCCCCGCTTCCCTTAAACAAACAAATGGGGATTTGGATGTGATCAGAGAGTTGTGAAAGGTGTGCTGTTTCAGATGCCTTATCTTCTTTTTCCTTACCCATCCTGCAGGTGCTCTCTAAAGCTTGGGTTCATTGTTATTTTTAACCCTGCAAAATAACCTGGTCTCCGTCTGCCATGCTGCTAGGAGCCAAGGTGGGCCTAGGAGCCCTGCATGTATGGAATTTACCCCCTTAGCTTTTTGGACTAATCCACACCTTAGCCCTGATCCCCCAAAGACTGATTTATGTACTTAATTTTATGCCCGAATAGTCCTATTGGCTTCAATGGGATTACTTCATGCATAAACTTCCTGTGAGTAAGTCTGCTGGATTGGAGTATTTAATTTGCATCCCTGTAGTTTTCAGATAAAGGCTTTGATCCCGCTGTTCAAGTCTGCAGGGCTTCATATAAGGCAGGGGTCTGCCCAAGCAGATCTAGTTGCAGGATCAGGGCCAAAGTTAGCAGCTATTAGAGTGTGTAACAAGGCCATGGAAAGGCTGCATTTGGCATGCTTTTCTTTTTCCTGCCTGTGAGTATAATGGAGTGTCTCGCTTGTGTCCATAGTAGTGGTTGATCTGCTTTGTTTAATCACCAGGTGGATGGTGATCAAAAAGTTCGCTGATGAATAAACTAATAATTTATTTCTTTTATATATATATATTTTAATCTTGCAACGGCAGTTTCCAATTTCCTAAGTAGTGTGAGCTTGAAGAGCATAATTAGATTCTGTATCAATGAGCATAAATGAAAAGAATTCTGTAGATAATGTTGTACGTTTCTGGAAGTGCCAACTAATAATAAAAAAGAGCAGTCATGATAATTCAGTTATATAGATGCAAGCTACACCACTAATTAGATTACAGTGTCATGTCACAGAATCTGTGTAATGATATAGTAACTAGCTGAATTCTTTTCAGGGGTTCTTCTGTTGCAGTATTCTGGGGAAAATGTTGGATACAATAGGAACCTTGTCCCCTAAATGTGCACTTCAGGTTTATTAAACTATTTGCTTGTGGCTTTTCAAAGTTGACCTCTGTTTTTTTGGGCAGTGTCGGGTTAAATTACAGTGAAATTTAATCCCCAATTTTTGTGGGTGTGTTTTGTTCGTGCCAGTTTTGTGATCAGTTCGCTGTCAAAGCAATTCTCTGCAGGTGTGATTTTTTTTGCATGCATAAATTGAATAGCCTTGGTAAGGCTATCTGAGCCTTGCCAAGCCCTTCACTCTTGAAACCCACTTGTTAGTTCAATATGGTTACAGTAAGAGAACCCCTGCCGTCTTAGAGGATAAAAGGAGATTAATTTTATTTTGTAATGTAAACATTTGTTTTGTTATTCAAAAGAAAACAGTTGAGCTTTTTAAGTGAAAAGAACAGTGAAAACAATGCTGCCATCCCTAAATATCTGGAACATACTAAACAAAGTCACTTCTTTTTTCAAAATTGATCAATGATAGCACTGTTTTATCTTTTTCTTCTCTCCTTATTCATGAGCATTTCTGTTGCATTTATGACCAGAGGGTCTGAATGCCCAGGGAAGCTAAAAGGAAATTCCTTATGTTATAGAAATCTTCTTGGAAAACTGTACAAGTTGTCCATGTGTATGTGCTGGTCCGTATCAATACAAACCAATGCCAGTATTATTTCCACCCCATCTATTTGGCTAATAAGTAGGGCTGTCAAATGATTAAAAAATTTGATCATGACTAGTTGTGCAATTAAAAAAATTGAGTTGCAATTAATCACAATTTTAATTGCACAGCTAAAAACTCAAAACTATGCACAGAAAAGCTCAAAATTATGCATGTACTTTGTATAGGTGGGGGTGAGATGTGTGGGGGGAATTTATGAAAGTGTGGGGCATGTGGGTGTGCAGTTTGGAGCCTGGGGGGGGAAAGCTCCCCGCATGCCCTGGCACGATGCAGGGTACTGTGTGTCAGGAATAAAGGGCAGCACCAGGCCTGAGGCGGGCTGTGGCTTGGGAGTGAGGGATAGACACAGTGCCCAGCAGGTAAATCTGTGGAGGGAAGAGGTGTGGGGGGAGGGAAGGGATGGGAGAGCAGATCAAGGCCAAAGGCAGCAGGGCACAGAGCCCACCTCTGCCCTGCACACAAATTGGGGTGGCATGCCTCCCCTAGCGGTGCACTCAGTGGCAGGGAGCCATGCCCCCCTGTGCCCCAGGATGAGTTGCCTGCAGCTCCATCCCATAACCAGCTCCAGGTCCCATTCACCCCAGCCGTGCCCCACTCTCTTCCTCACTGCGGGGGCCTTGATCTTCCCCCCACCCCCTTCCCTTCACAGGCTTACTGCAGGGTACTGCTCTACACACTACCAAGATGCATTCCTGGCCACGTGCATGCTGTGGCTACTCCTGTGTGTCTGTCTGCATGTCGTGTTCCCTCTGCAGTGGCTCCTGCACTGCCACCATTGCCCCGCTGGGTGGCACGGAGGCAGTGTCAGCAATGGAGCGGAGCCCAGGCATGGACTCCAAAGCCACGTGTGTGATTAACACGTTAAAAAAGCTAATGCAAGAACCAATTAACGCATTAATCGCGTGTGTTAACTGTGATTGACACCCCTACTAATAAGTGATCTCAATGCAACTTTACAAACCCTGCATTATACCTCTGACACTAAAGGAATTAGTTCAGATTTGCAGAGAAATTAGTAACTCCACTGGTTTCAGTGGTAGTTCTGGATTCATATAATTGGAACCAAGCTGTGCATCTTAGTTTGGAATAGAGATGATCCTGCCTCAGGTCAGACTAGACCTCTGGAGGTGTCTCCCAGCCTTATTTCTCCATTATCTGTTTGATATGAGCCATCATCCATTGATGTGAGCCAGATCCAGCCCATGGAACCACTGAATCTGCTTTGCAGACCTGGACTTGTTTCATAGTTTCTAGGGTCGGAAGGGACCTGAGCAGATCATCTAGTCCGACCCCCTGCCATGGGAGGAAAGAGTACTGGGGTCAAACGACCCCAGCAAGGTGTTCATCTAACCTCTTCTTAAAAACCCCCAGGGTAGGAGCCTGCACCACCTCTCTTGGAAGCTGGTTCCAGATCCTAGCCGCCCTGACCGTGAAATAGCGCCTCCTGATGTCTAACCTAAACCTACCCTCTGCCAGCTTGTGACCATTATTCCTGGTCACTCCTGGTAGTGCTCGGGGGAACAGTGACTCCCCCAATGCCTGCTGGTCCCCCCTGACTAGTTTATAACAGGCCACAAGATCCCCCCTCAGCCTTCTCTCGTGGAGGCTGAAAAGGTTCAGGTCCCATAGCCTCTCCTCA